AATCAGTCAGCATTCACGTGCGGTACGACCGGCAGAAAGGGAAGGACTGCAGGAAGGCAGCCACTTTCGGCCTGCGACAAGCAAATGGCAATTCTACTAGGAGCGACTAGTAAAATACCACCTGACAACCTGACAACCTGACGACCACCGCGCCGTCTTTTTACCGCCTATGTTTGCGGTGAGAATCTGCAATCACGTGAACCCTTGGTAAACTAACCCCTAATGGGCCGTCACATTTATTAGATGGTACGCCATAGGAAGGTTTTTTAACGCTTTCACTTCAACCACCATTTTCTTTACCGCCATACAGTAAATTAATTGATTAGTTCCAGCTAGCTCGCGAATAATGTTTGATCTTGTCCTTGATCCATTTCTTGATTCTCCGGACTGAGGTTGGGAATATTCGCGCCGAGCACATATTTGATCTGAGGAGGATACAATGATTCTATCCAGCAAATGGCCAATTTCCTAAAAATCAGGTTTCGATTATAAGCTCTGCCGCCGGGATTCATATATTCTCCCCAGCTTCGTGGATGATTCAACTGATATTGAGAAGATTCGTGCGCATATCTTGGTTTAGAAGGGGTTTAGTTCGGAACACGCAGTGGTAGTGGCAGAAACGCTTCATTATGATGCAATATGGAATCGGAATTGGTATGCAAGAAAAACACCGCTGCTCTCATAAAATGCGCAAGCGCTTTGTATCCCCTGACTCTGTTCGCAAAAGAGGTCTCTTTCCTCGTGATCGCTCTGGAGCTGGGCCGATATCTCAATGTAGAGCGGTGAAAGTCGATAAATTAACGCCCGCCCGAGCTCTTCATTCCAAAGGATACTATCACGCCGAAGTTCTTCGTAGACGATTCCCAGGGCTTTGATTTCCTTTGATTTCCATATTCGATTCGTTAATATGATTGACAAGTCCCGGGATCAGCTCCATTGTTGCTGTGCTATTCCCCCCAGCCCATGAAGAGCATGTGATGAATCTCTTTAGCCCCTGGAGAAAATCAGTTTTTGCTAAGTCGATTGGACCGAGGAAAACAGGCGCAGCGGATTCTTGAGCTTAAGCTAGGTGAGAGAGATGATATTCAGTCTACAAATGAAGCTGTAGATGAAACTGGAGATCTCTGGATGCGTTGTTAAAGAGAGAAGCTATCTACAGGTTTTAGCTAGACTAAGTACTAGGAGCAAACAAAGAAGTCATGTGACTTCTAACACTAGGCATGTCAAAAATTCTCGGATTTATCTTCTATCATATAGAATGTAGTTACAAGCTAATTTTTTTAAGGGACAATTTTTGGAACACTGCAGGCTAAGATACGTGGATTATTGGACGGGCCAATTAACGTACACCTTGTGACAACAAAGATGAGCTCGGACTGTAAAATGTGTTTCGTTAATTTGATTGATATGTGATGTTTGCACTGGGATGCATGTGTCAGCATGGACGCATCAGAAGGGCTGTGGCGAGTCTACAACATAAAAGGCAACAACCATAACATCGAATTGAACTGAAGATAAATGTTGTATCTAAATTTGGGGCTGTGTGCATATGCCAAGGGTCGATGCGTTTCAAGCTCACTTGTAATCAAATCACATTGCGCTCCGTCTCACGTGAGGAGGTCAGTGCGGGCATTGCGCTACCTATGTTGTAGGATGATTCTCACCTAGCTTCTCACCCAGTCGCGCGACGCTAAAGTGGCGCTGGCACCCACCCAACTATTGACCGCATACACAAGCTGGCCAATCATTTGGTTGTCTTTATCACGTGATCATCTAGTTCATCCCCTCTCGTTGCGGCATAAACAAACTACCCCCATTATTCCAATCTGAACTTTTTGGTTCATGTCCCATGGCAGCTGGCATCACCCCACCAGG